CTTGAGAGAAAAGAAGACAGAAAACACAGGATAGTCCAAGGACCACCCACCTCCATCCAGGTCTAGTAAGGTGAGCATCCACGAAACTGCCTAGGCTCCCACGAAACCAATAGGTACAGTAGGATCAAAAACCCATTGCCATTGTTCTTGAGATCTCAGTAGTCCTCATTGTCCACTATGTTCAGCGAGACCGGTTTTAACCCAGGCTTTTTCAGACCCAGGCCAGCTGGCCTTGGTGAGTTCCCGATAGAACATCCCCATTGTCTCAGTGTATGGGTGCACCCCTCGCTGTCCTGAGTTCCTTGCTTGTGCTCTCTCTCCTTCTGCTCCTGTTTTGGACCTTGAGATTTCAGTTCGGTGCTCCATTGTGGGTCTCTGTCTCTATCTCCTTTCATCGCCTGATGAAGGTTATGGGGGAGGGGGAGGGAGAGGGGAGGCGGCGGTGGGGAAGAGACAGAAATCTTTAATAAATAAATAAATTTAAAAAAAAAAAGAAAACACAGGATAGGCTGGGAGATCTGAAGGCAAATACCAACCAACCCCAAGTTTAGTTCAGAGCCTGTTTATATACTAATTATAGTCAAAAGTCAGAACAAAGAGCCGGACAATCCACTAACTGCATCTCTGGACACACCTTTGGGTGGAAGCTTAATCAGGTGCATTACCTCACACAAGAATCCAGATGGCAGCAAGCAGTTACTAACTCTAACTGGATGTGCCGTTCACCAGCCCAAATCTTAGCAGATAACATGTTCTTTTGAGCAGCGCTTTCTCACAGCCCTCAAGGATTCGGGCAGAGCAAGCAAGTTTGAACTCAAATGGCTTCTTTAAGTCAGAATTGAATCCAGATGGAAACTGAGTCAGACATGGGCTACCATACATAATGTATATAGGCTAGTCTACATATTTAAAGAATCCTGAAAATTATGCAAGTCATACTATGAGAAATAAAAAATCAAACTACTACCATTTATTTATCCAAATGTCCCCAAAATTCAAATTCCCTTAACTGTAGTAATACTATAATTTTTCTGTGGTTACTTATTTCTTACCTCACTTTTGGCTTTCATGATCTTAAGGTATTTATTATGTTTTAGCATCTTTTACAGTCAAGACATTATGATTATTATAATTTTAAAATTATTCCAGTCAACTGTCCATCTAACGTGATAACATTTTGACAACTGCTATATTCTAACACGTCAAACCACACAAAGATGAAATTCAGCACAAGAATTGATCTCAAAAAGACTCTTGATTACCTGAATTTCAGAATTAGTTCTGTCCTCAGTTCTTGAACACATAGAAATCAGTGACTCAGATTTGAAGAGATGTTTTTCAAGTAAAACACATAGAAAAATAAGTGAGTAGTGGTCAATTTTTTCTCAAATATTTAATTATTTTAACAGCAAATGGTGTTTCTATTGTTATTACATTTGGTTTATAACATTTGTTCAGTTGTTACTTTTTGCCTCTACTTCTCCTAATCTCTGCACTTGGCAAGGAAGTTTCACACATAGTTCCACATCAAATAATGTCAGTCAATATATTTGTAGAATCTGAAAGTCATTTGTTTTGAAAATTGTCTGCCCTGATGTTTGCACACAAATTACAATTGGTTGTTCACATATTCCTTCAATAATTTAAATAAAAATAATAGCTCCGAATAAGGAAAAAATGTCCTCGTTCTACTCTATTAACAAAGCACAAAACTGTATAACTAATAAATATTAACATTCGTTCTTCAGCATGGAAAATAACCACTAAAAGAAACCATCATATCCATTCATCGTAAAACAGCTAATGAAGTCACATAAAACATATGAAATCCTTGACCACTTAGGTTACAGGTGAACAAAAACAAAGGTGCACATGGAGGGCAGGAATGCAGTCCAAACACTGCAATGTAAATAACTCAGTTGTGCTTCCTACATGGTGCAGGTATATTGAAATCTACCATGCACTTAAAAGCCTTAGTATGTGGTCAGGTGATGGCAGAGACTTCTGGAAATGCAGAAGAGTCACTTGGACTTTCGCCTTTGTTTCCCTCTATATTCCTCCTATAGGATACCACTCCTTGTTCGCTCTTCAGCAGTCTTCAATGGTGCTGTCCAACTTTTAAATATTCATCCCAGGAAGGTGCAGATTTCTGAAAGTATAGGCTCAAAAAAAAAACTGAAAGGCAGCAAGGTCTCTGGTTCCAGCAAATAAGCTAAATGGAGGATCAGCAACATAGATCCCAAGTCTACACACGTTACTAATTTCTAACATTACATTGCTCCACATTCCAACCTGGAAACGATACATAAGACCTTGGCGAAGATACCGGGGAAATAAGCAGCTGCCCTGGATCACAGAGATTTTTCATTCGTCTCCTTCCAGTCTTTGGTACTGACCTTTCTCTAGCTCACACTCAGTGACACCGTATTCCTCTGTTCCATAAAAACTCGTGTGGCTCAAGTAAGTTTCAAAAGAAGAACCTGGATAGTTGTCTTTTCTATCAATTAAGCAAAAGGGCCTTCTTAGATTCTGAATTACTTTCAACCCTATCCAGTCCTAGATGATTTTCAACATCCTGTGTCCTATGTAAATGACTTTATTTGTCTTTTGTTTAATTCATCATGATGCCAAGCTCTTAGTCCTATGGACCTCCATGATGCTCCTTTTGAAATTGTCCTTCCACTGTTAAAGGCATCCAAATTGTCCACTGCTGGGCTCACTTTTAAATGCCGTTCTTGTCTTCTTTCACTTGGAACACTTCATCCATTCCCATATTCTCCTACTGAAACATTCGGTCCAATATGGTCCGTGAGGACGGGTCCACTAGTGAAGGCGCACATGTGAATCCAAACTGGACCATTTGTATTTCCACCTCCACAGAATACTGTTTTGAGCTTTGTGTTCTCCATCAGAACAACTATTTTCATAGAATGGTTAATCTAGGTTGCTGTACTCAAGATAGTTTATACTAAATTTCAAGGTTCCTGGAAAACTATGAAATTTTAAGATCTGGGATTCAATAGTGAAACAAGAAGCAACACCTGGCAAACAAAAAAATTAACTACACACCAGGAATCATGAAAAATAAATATACACTACAAGTTTTAAGATGCTTAATGTCACAGGGAAACAAAGACTTGATAAAAAGGAAAAAGTCTCCCTCTCTCATTCCAGTAGTTTGAAGAAAAAATAAAAATTATGCATAAGTCACTAACATCCTTTAAAAAGATGCTGAACATAATAAATAGAAATTGGTGTATGTGCACATGTACTACCGTTCCAATAAAGCGATTCCAAGACCTCTCGTGACTTGCACATTTCCAGTCTATGACACTGTGAAGACAGTTATGAGAAGTTTTCCCCTTCAATCATTGATAGCAGTAAAATATATTCATGTCACGTCTAACACCAACTTTCACAAGGGTAAGACAAACTATGGCATTATAGATAGCTTAGGAAAACTCTAACGCAGAGTTGAAACATAAGAAAAACTGTCTTTTTATGTGGGACTATCTCAATAGAGTCAGAGGAGGAAGAGAATGGACAGGATAACAGGATGTCATGAGCTGGGAACTGGCTAACTAAGGGATCATGGAATTAATCAAACTCTTTTTTTTTCAGTGTTTTACTTTCCAAATGTAATTCAATTCTTTAACTAACACAAAAATAATGAGACAAAATGGGTCTGCAAAGTACAATAGAAAAATACTGTCCACTGGTTTATTTGTTCAAATGTGCAATAGGCTATGTACAAATAAGCACATCTCCAACGATGGATATTAAAAATGGCAAATCTATCAACTGTTTGAGATCCAAATGAAAACAAATTATTAAGGCACGTTTGATCTGTGAGTTGAGAACAAACATTCTGGTGTAACACGAGAGTCATTTCACTTCTGTCCCCAAAACACATGAGCACCAAAATTATCAAAGAACACTTGATATTTAGCAAGATGGGAATGTACAAATTAAGGATGAGGAAAAGGTGTTTTCAAAAGGAAATCTTTGGAGATTGGTTTACCGCAAATAAAACATTCTAATCACACCCACGGTACACATAAATACTAGTAACTGACAAGTACTCAAAATGGAAGAGATCTAAACAATGGGTATTAAATAAATTAAAGGTACTTCAGATAAACAAGATAGAACAAAACAGTAATTAAAAAATGAAGCGAGCATCTCCCCCCACAACACAGGATCAAGAGAACAGAACCCCAACTTTGCCCCTCACGTTTTCATTAGGGGTTTGCTGTGTAGCTTGCATCCATTATGCTACTAACAGCCATTCTTTGTCACCCTAAATAATACTGTACCCTAAAGAGAAGGGGCAGGGCAGAGAAAATGCCAGGTCCACCTTGGGCTTCAGTGCCAGGTCTGCTTTGGCCAAGGAATTACAGGGGAGTGAGCCATAGCTGTGCTCTCCTCGGTCCCCCTCCCCGGCTAGTAAAGCCCAGGTGGCCACGGAGGGTGGAGCCCAGCCTGGGGCAGATGACCAATCTGGAAAGCTGTCCTGTAGACAGCGACAATACAGCTATTACCATGTCTGCTTACTTTGTGATTGGAACCAAAGATGTCTTTAAAAAAATTGTTTAAAAAAGGTAAAAAGGTAGAATTTGTGCAAAGTTAACAGTCACAACAAGCATTTACCAGAGTTACAGTGTGTGTGCCACAATAATACTTCTTAGGAATGTTCACGGTTTCTGCCATAGGACTACAGAGGAGGGAGGGGTTGTCTGGAAAAGAAATGTGTAAAACCAAAAACTCATTATGAAAGTTTTGTTCACCGGGTATGTTTCAAGTCAGGATTAAGCAAGATGTGTTCAAAGGCAAATATTAATCACATTTTTATTCAAAAAGCTTAATCTTAAAGGAGTCCTGTGTAAGAAAACCACTTGGAAAATATATCCTTGTACGGGCTTCAAAAAAACTCATCATACAGAAAAGTTTTTGAAAAATAAATTAGGCAATTAAAAATGTCCTTTCCATTGGGGCTGGAATCAGGCTGTCCTGGCAGAGCCGTTACTGCCGCTTTTGCTGTAACTGGGGTCATTCTTTTCCAGCCACATCTCGGCCATCTGCTGTGTGGACCCATACGTCGATGCTTTTGACCCCAAGCACATTTTATACTGTTTGGGATCCAGATTGGGGTCACAGAAGACAGGGTGGTGGATGTGGACGACTCCAACCTCCTGGCTCCTGAATATCTTCAACCCGGTCTGGACAACCTTGTTAAAGAGGTCCACATCCTCTAGACCCCAGCCTTGGATGGAGACGTCAAAGCCTCCCACTCTCACAAGATCTCCCTTATAAATACAAGTAATGCCAAACCCATAGTTTCTCCAGAAGCCGGTTTTTTGAGTAAAGGCAAAAAAAAAAAAAAAAAAAATGGTTGTCACTGGGAACCTTCCCACTATAAACAATCTTTGGATTGTACTGGCTAAAAATGATTGGGAAATAGATCTGCTGACCCAGCACTGTGTTTGCGCAACACCGTTGTAGGAATTCCACAGTAAATACCAGGTCAACATCACAGAAGAAGAGCAAAGAGTCATTATTAAACTGGGAAGATCCTACTTCTAGGGCCAGCGCTCTTGAAAACCCTCCGGACACAGGTAAAACCTGCATGTCAGCTTTAGGGTACTTGACTCGGTAATCTCTCATCAGTTCAACCTGTTTGGCCTTGTCGGGGTTGGAGTCAGAATTGAAGAGCAGAACTACGAGCTTGACGTTATGATTTGGAATGAGACATGTCTTCTCAAAGTTTCCCATGAACCTTGCAAACATGTCAAAGCGTCCAGACAAAGGGATCAGAATGTTTATCTTCTTTTCTTTGGGCTCTTTGTGCTCAATCTTGGACCCAGGTAGCTGGAAGGGAACGAGCTTCTTCAGGGAATTGGACAGGAAGGACAGTGACCCGGAGTCCTGGTTGATTCTGTCGGCCAGCTCCTGCGCATCCAGCTCCTCGTGCTCCACAAACTGGATCTTACTGAAGGTCTGCTGCAGGTACGCATGCCTCCTCACAGGGGCTGTCATCTTCTTCCCTTTGTGCTTCTTATACAGGAGCAGCAGGTCCAGGATGTACTCGGCCCCGTACATGGGGTTCACACGCCGGTAGCCATACTGGATCTCCTTAAAGTCGATGATGCGCCCTCAGGTCTTGGCGTTGGCGTTGATCATCTCCATCACCTGCATGACGATGTGGTCCAAGGCCTCCTTCTGTGCCGAGTCCATCCCTCTCCTGGCCGTCAGTGGCTGAATGTAAGTATTTTCCAGTCAGAAACTCCCACTCCAGGATCTCCTCTCGCTGGCGGGCTTGAAAGAGCATAAAGGAGGGAGGGACGCCCAGCTGGAGGTCTTCCTTGTGGACCTCTGTGCCGCTGTACTTGCTCATAAGGAAGATTTCCCAGTGCAACTGAATTGTGCGATGGCGCAGCTCGGCAATCTTGCGGCTGGGCATGTAACTGTGTAGCCTGCATTGGTAAGGTGAGTTTTTGTTGGGATGTAAAGTGATTGCTCGGTGAGTTTTACTGCTATGGAGATCTCTAATGTATCCTTTCTTGTTCTGTTCATAATTCTCGTAAAACAGCTGCTGTATCTCATATGACCAAACACACTGCACACCTGCAAATCTCCAAACACATCTTCCCACCTCTACATCCTCATGGGTGGTATACATTTCCCGGAGACATTTGCCAATGTGTGGTGCCATTCTCCGAAGCACCTCCCAGCTCAGAATCACACCAGGCCCTCCCATGCAAAAGTTCTCTCCAGGCTCAAGGGCCAGCTTCCCCATCTCTTCTGTGGTGCCCAGTCCCGTCTGCCCGAGAAAGAGGGGCTCACTGCTATTCAGACTCCTCAGAAAACTCTCCAGACGATCTCCTTTGATGTAAACGTCATCATCTGCTCTCATAAACCATTCGTATTTGTCCAAGTAGTGGCCATGCATGAACTTGAGCATCATGAAAGACTTCTTCTGGGGCGGATAGGGGTCATCCACACCCCGCAGGGGCACTATTGGAATAGGTATAGTTGTATCTGAGCCTTCGCTAGAGAAGAACTCAACTTTCCCAGGAATTGTCTTGGACCATGTTCTGTAGGCGGCCACGGCGCAGGTCTGTAGGTATCTTTCCCACGAAGAGAAAGTTCCTGTCACGCGAGACGCCCTCCGTGGCCGAGCTATGCGGCCAGAGCTGAGCCCCGCGCGCAGCGCCTCGTGCACCTCCGAGCGGCAGCGCCGACTGCCCTGGCCGGCATCCCTCGGGACTGGGACGCCGCCGCGGGCCCACACGCTTCAGCTCCCAGGCGCGGGGCAGGACAAGCCACGAGGCCAGCAAGAAGCCCAGCACGAAGCCCAGCACGAGCCCGAGCAGCGTGCTGAGCGAGGCCATGCCCGCGTCCCTCCGCCCGCCGCCCCTGCCTGCGGAGGCCAGCCTGCCCTAGGGCCACCAGGCCCGGCCAGGGCGAGGCCGCCGCGAGCCCGCCGCGCCCATCGCGGCTCCCGAGCCGCCCGCAGGCCTGGCGCCAGCGCTTTGTTCCGCGCGCCCGCCCGCACCTCCGCGACCTGCGCCTTTAAGAGGGGACCATGCCCCGCGCTTGCGGCCGGCGACTCCGACTCCGCGCGAGGCGACAGAGGCTCCTCCGGCTCGCGCCACCCCCCAGACACTCAACGTCACGCACCGCGTGTTTATGAAGCACTAATCAAACTCTTTAGATAATCTTTGCTAAAGAAGTAAGACACTTAGTCATAAGGATATAAATGCATTAAACTTATGATTATATTAATATATCATGTGCATTAATTGAGTTAAATGGAATCCAGTGGAAAACATTCAATAAATGCTAGCTTCTTTCCTCTCATTCTAATTATAATTTAACATTTATATTCAAAGACTTTAAATGTTTGTTTTATTGATTTTTTTTCTCTATTCTCCTCCCTTCCTCTCCCCTCCCCATCAACCATCTCCCACGATCCCCATGCTCTCAAGTTACTCATTGGTCAACATTGTTTGTCCTATCCAGAACCTGGAAACAACCTAAATGCCCCTCGACAGAAGAATGGGTAAAGAAAATGTAGTACATTTACACAATGGGGTACTACACAGCAGAAAAAAAAAAAAAAGATAATGACATCTTGAAATTTGCAGGCAAATGTATGGATCTAGAAAACATTATATTGAGTGAAATAACCCAGACCCAGAAAGGCAAATGCCATATATGTTCACTAATAAGTGGCTTTTAGACATAAAGCAAAGAAAACCAGCCTGCAATTCACAATCCCAGAGAACCTAGACAACAATGAGTACCCTACTAGAGGCATACATGGATCTAATCTACATGAGAAGTAAAAAAAGACTTTAAAATCTTACCCTGATAAAATGATGTACTCAGGCTCATTTCCTAAGACTGAATAAATAGTAAAATGTCCTATAAATATAATATTTATACATACAGAAACTTCTTGGGTAAATTAATAACAATGCTACTGGAATATACCAAATACATCAGGAACTCTTCATCTCTTTTGGAATCATTGATTAAAGAATAAAGGAAATTATTAGCATTTGATGCCATAAAGTATGTGACATGTACAGGGACAACGTTCCAATTAATAGCAAATAGGGCCATTGCCCGAACACTGCCTATCGTGAAGAAATAAGCAGCAAGGAGACTGGTTTTTCTGGAATAATGTTACTATGATCAATTTGAAGACAAAATAAATATTTTGTTATGATGCAACAAGTCTTCCCCAGATAAAAGGGTGCAATTTTTCAAGTAGGGATGAAAAATGTATCAGAGGGAGCATGAGCCAATTATCATTGTACCTTTACCCTTTCCTGAAACCTATCAGGACAATGTTTCTCCTAAAGACTTGCACGGTATCAGAAAAGAGAGGTCAGGCTACACTTCCTGGTCAACTTCAGGGGCGACTCTGCCCAATACCCCCTCTCTCTTCCTATCCCACCCAGCTTGCATCCACATCCCTCCCCCCTCCATCTGACTCCCTTCCCTCGTTGACCACATAACATCTCCCAGCCCAGCCTGTCCCGGTACCAGAAAAGACATCAGGCTTGCATCCACAACCCACCCAGAGTGGTCCTGAGGAGTTCCATCTGGACGCAAAAACTGGACCAAGACACCAGGCCTCTCCTGGCTCCGTTTGAACGAGGAGATGGGAAGGCGCCAATGCAAGACTTCCTCCAATAACCTGAAAGGCAACATGACTTCACCAGAATCAAGGGATCCCGAAATAAGAAGAATTGTACACCCTACTCCAGAAGAATTAGAAGAAATCGACTCAAAAGTGAATTATATGAAAATAATAGAAGACCTTAAGCAGGAGGTGAAAAACTGCCATAAACAATTAGAGATTACAAACAAAAAGGTAGAGGAAATGAATAAATCGCTTAAAGATACCCAAGAAAATCAAGAGAAACATGAAAAAGCAATCAGACAGGTACGGGAAGCAGTTCAAGACTTGAAGAATGAAATGGAAGTAATGAAGAAAACACAAACCGAGGGAAGATTGGAGATGGAAAATCTGGGTAAACGAACAGGAACTACAGAGACAAGTACTACCAACAGAATACAAGAGATAGAAGAAAGAATATCAGATACTGAAGATACCATAGAGAAAATAAACACACTGATCAAAGAAAACAGCAAAACCAACAAATTCTCATCACAAAACATTCAGGAAATATGGGACACAATAAAAAGACCAAACCTAAGAATAATTGGAGTAGAAGAAGGAGAAGAGGTGCAACTCAACGGCCCAGAAAATATATTTAATAAAATTATAGAAGAAAACTTTCCCAACCTAAAGAAAGATGT